CAACACAACACACTCACAAAACAGCAAAACAACAAAACTCAAAAATCCCCCAACGAAACTTAACTGAAATCCCTGTGCCCATAACACAACCCACAAGGTACAAACATATCTACTCAAAATGAAAAACAACACAACAACACACTCACAAAACGGCAAAACAACAAAACTCAAAAACCCCCAACGAAACTTAACCAAAATCCCCATGCCCATAACACAACCCACAAGGTACAAACATATCTACTCAAAATGAAAAACAACACAACAACACACTCACAAAACGGCAAAACAATAAAACTCAAAAATCCCCCAACGAAACTTAACCAAAATTCCCATGCCCATAACACAACCCACAAGGTACAAACATATCTACTCAAAATGATAAACAACACAACAACACACTCACAAAACGGCAAAACAACAAAACTCAAAAATCCCCCAACGAAACTTAACCAAAATTCCCATGCCCATAACACAACCCACAAGGTACAAACATATCTACTCAAAATGAAAAACAACACAACAACACACTCACAAAATGGCAAAACAACAAAACTCAAAAATCCCCCCAACGAAACTTAACCAAAATTCCCATGCCCATAACACAACCCACAAGGTACAAACATATCTACTCAAAATGAAAAACAACACAACAACACACTCACAAAACGGCAAAACAACAAAACTCAAAAATCCCCCAACGAAACTTAACCAAAATCCCCGTGCCCATAACACAACCCACAAGATACAAACATACCTACTCAAAATGAAAAACAACACAACAACACACTCACAAAACGGCAAAACAACAAAACTCAAAAATCCCCCAACGAAACTTAACCAAAATCCCCGTGCCCATAACACAACCCACAAGGTACAAACATACCTACTCAAAATGAAAAACAACACAACAACACACTCACAAAACGGCAAAACAACAAAACTCAAAAATCCCCCAACGAAACTTAACTAAAATCCCCGTGCCCATAACACAACCCACAAGGTACAAACATACCTACTCAAAATGAAAAACAACACAACAACACACTCAAAAAACGGCAAAACAACAAAACTCAAAAATCCCCCAACGAAACTTAACTAAAATCCCCGTGCCCATAACACAACCCACAAGGTACAAACATATCTACTCAAAATGAAAAACAACACAACAACACACTCACAAAACGGCAAAACAACTGAGCATGCGCATTGGCGCCCAGCCGCAAGTTCCCTGGCGCGCGCACATGCCCTTCCGGCCAACGTTCCCTCTGCGGAAACCATGCCCACTCCAAGCCCCGCCGCGCCGCTTCCCGCACACACACACACCCCTGCCGCACACACACACGCAACCCCACGCTCCATCACTCCCCCCGCCGCCGCACACACACACGCAACCCCACTCCCACTCCCCCCGCCGCCGCACACACACACAACCCCATGCCCCCCGCCGCCGCACACCCACACGCAACCCCACTCCCCCGGCGCCGCACACACACACGCAACCCCACGCTCCATCACCCCCGCCGCACACACACACGCAACCCCACGCTCCATCACTCCCCTGCCAATCTTACCTCCTTTTACTTCAGGCCACCTCCAAACCCCACCCCCCCCCCTCCCCCCCGTCAAAATCTAGGAAAGACAGGAAGGAAGGAAAAGAAGGAAGAAAAAGGGAGGGAAAGACAAAAGGAGGAAGAAGAAAAGGAAAGAAAAGGAAAGATGGAAGGAAAGAAAAGAGAGACAGCAGAAGAGGAAGAAAAAGGGGGAAGGAAGGAAAGAGATAGAGAAAGAAGAGGAGAAGGAAAGATGGGAAGGAAGGAAGGGAAGGAAGGAAGGAAGGAAGGAAGGAAGGAAGGAAGGAAGGAAGGAGGGAGGGAGGGAAAGAAGGAGAGAAAGAGGGAAGATTGGCCACAGCAACACGTGGCGGGTAAAGGTTGTTATTTCTATTATTATTATTATTATTATTATTATTATTATTATTATTATTATTATTATGATGCTATTGTTCCTATGAGACCCTTTTAGGGGGAATGGGAGAGGTGTCAGGTCCCAGAGGCAATGCATTGCATTATTGTTATTGTTATGATGGTGGAAAATAAAAGGAAATAAAAAGTGAAAGAAGGAAGCAAACAGGGAGGGAAGAAAGGCAAAGGAAGAAAGGGGGAGGGAATGAAGGAAAGAGAGAAGGATGAAACCAAGTAGTGAAAGAAAGAAAGAGGTAGAGAAGGAAGAAAGGAGAGAAAGGGGGAGGAAAAGGGGGAAGGAATAGGTAGGGACCTCTCTTTCATAATAGTCCAGATATCTACCTCAACTTTGATAAGTTTTACTATAGGCCACAGCAATGCGTGGCAGGGCACAGCTAGTCTATTATTTATATATATATATATATATATATATATATATATATATATATATATATATATCACAATCACAATCATATCTAGGGAGGCCCATTAAGTCTGGATGGTCATCTTTTGGGAATGATTGAATGGTGCCTTCCTGTTGGGCAGAAGAGAGCTGGACTGAATTGCCTTTGGGGGGTCCCTTTATGGTTCTATGATAAGAGAGACTCATCAAGTAAGAGTCTGGATGGCCATCTATTAGGAGTGATTGAATGGTGTCTCCCTGCCAGGCAGAAGAGGGTTGGACCGAATCACCTTTGGGGGGTCCCTTTATGGTTCTATGATAAGAGAGACTCATCAAGTAAGAGTCTGGATGGCCATCTATTAGGAGTGATTGAATGGTGTCTTCCTTCCACGCAGAAGGGGGCTGGACTAGATGGCCTTGGGGGGACCCCTTTCCAAGTCTACGGTTCTACAATAAGGGTAGCTAAGGGGCCACGCTAGTTCCAAGAGGTGCCAAACCGCATTAAATCAACAGCGCGGACGCACCCATATGGACACACACCTTGCAGGACCTCGTCCGGGAGCACGGGGTTGGCCAGGTAGACGTCGGTCTCTCGGGCCACGTGGGCCTCGCGAAGCCCCTCCACCAGGCGCCGGTACTCCTCCCTCAGCTTCTGCGCGTCCGTCTCCTTGATGCTGGGGAAAGGGGGCAAAGGGCGGAAATTCCTAGCGAGGGGCTCCCTCTAGAAATTCACTGACCAAAGGAAGTGACCGTCCACTCTTGGACGTTATACACTGCCCGGCACTAGTCTATGATGAGGCTGACCACAGAATTGTGCTGGAGGTCCTAGAGATTCCTAGAGGGAGTACAGAGTTGCCTTGGAGGACCCCTTAGCAATGAATAATAATAATAATTGTTGTTGTTATTGTTATTATTGCTTTTATTGTTGTTATTATTGCAATTATTGTTATTTTTATCATTGCTCTTATTATTGCGGTTATTGTCATTCTTATAATCACTCTTATTATTATTGTTACTGTTATTACTATTGATGTTATTGTTATTATTGCTTTTATTGTTATTATTGCAATTATTGTTATTTTTATCATTGCTTTTATTATTGCAGTTATTGTCATTCTTATAATCACTCTTATTATTATTGTTACTGTTATTATTGGTGTTATTGTTATTATTGCTTTTATTGTTATTATTGCAATTATTGTTATTTTCATCATTGCTCTTGTTATTGCAGTTATTGTCATTCTTATCATTGCTCTTATTATTATTATTACTACTGTTATTATTATTATTATTATTGGTGATATTATTACTATTTCTGTTATTGTTGTTATTACTGCTGTTATCATTATTACTATTGTTGCTACTATTATTATTGCTTCTTATTATTGCTATTACTATTGCTGTTTTGGTTAGACATCATTATCATTACTCTTATTATTGTTGCTGCTGCTACTGATATTACTGATATTATTATTATTATACATTGTCAGTAATAATATTATTATTGTAGATCGTTACTATTATATAACAATAACTGCAATAATAACTACAATGTTATTATTGCGGTTGTTATTATTATTCTTAACATTGTTATTCTTATTGCTGTCATTATTACTGTTATTGTTATTGCCGTTGTTATTGTCCCTATAATTGTTGTTGTTACTGTTATTGCAGTTATTGTTATTTTTAGCATTGTTGTTATTCTTATTGCTGTCATTATTGCTGCCATTATTATTTCTGTTGTTATTGTTCCTATAACTGTTGTTGTAATTGTTATTATTACTGTTATTGTTATTCTTAGCACTGCTGTTGTTCTTATTGCTGTCGTTATTGCTGTTGTTATTGTTCCTATAACTTGCTGTAATTGTTATCATTGCTGTTATTGTTATTCTTAGCATTGCTGTTATTCTTATTGCTGTCATTATTGCTGCTATTGTTATTGTTGTTATTGTTCCTATAATTGTTGTTGTTATTGTTATTATTGCTGTTATTGTTATTCTTAGCATTGCTGTTATTCTTATTGCTGTCGTTATTGCTGTTGTTATTGTTCCTATAACTGTTGTAATTGTTATCATTGCTGTTATTGTTATTCTTAGCATTGCTGTTATTCTTATTGCTGTCATTATTGCTGCTATTGTTATTGTTGTTATTGTTCCTATAATTGTTGTTGTTATTGTTATTATTGCTGTTATTGTTATTCTTAGCATTGCTGTTATTCTTATTGCTGTCATTATTGCTGCTATTGTTATTGTTGTTATTGTTCCTATAATTGTTGTTGTTATTGTTATTATTGCTGTTATTGTTATTCTTAGCATTGCTGTTATTCTTATTGCTGTCATTATTGCTGCTATTGTTATTGTTGTTATTGTTCCTATAATTGTTGTTGTTATTGTTATTATTGCTGTTATTGTTATTCTTAGCATTGCTGTTATTCTTATTGCTGTCATTATTGCTGCTATTGTTATTGTTGTTATTGTTCCTATAATTGTTGTTGTTATTGTTATTATTGCTGTTATTGTTATTCTTAGCATTGCTGTTATTCTTATTGCTGTCATTATTGCTGCTATTGTTATTGTTGTTATTGTTATTATTGCTGTTATTGTTATTCTTAGCATTGCTGTTATTCTTATTGCTGTTGTTATTGTTCCTATAACTGTTGTAATTGTTATCATTGCTGTTATTGTTATTCTTAGCATTGCTGTTATTCTTATTGCTGTCATTATTGCTGCTATTGTTATTGTTGTTATTGTTCCTATAATTGTTGTTGTTATTGTTATTATTGCTGTTATTGTTATTCTTAGCATTGCTGTTATTCTTATTGCTGTCATTATTGCTGCTATTGTTATTGTTGTTATTGTTCCTATAATTGTTGTTGTTATTGTTATTATTGCTGTTATTGTTATTCTTAGCATTGCTGTTATTCTTATTGCTGTCGTTATTGCTGCTATTGTTATTGTTGTTATTGTTCCTATAATTGTTGTTGTTATTGTTATTATTGCTGTTATTGTTATTCTTAGCATTGCTGTTATTCTTATTGCTGTCGTTATTGCTGCTATTGTTATTGTTGTTATTGTTCCTATAATTGTTGTTGTTATTGTTATTATTGCTGTTATTGTTATTCTTAGCATTGCTGTTATTCTTATTGCTGTCGTTATTGCTGCTATTGTTATTGTTGTTATTGTTCCTATAATTGTTGTTGTTATTGTTATTATTGCTGTTATTATTCTTAGCATTGCTGTTATTCTTATTGCTGTCGTTATTGCTGCTATTGTTATTGTTGTTATTGTTCCTATAATTGTTGTTGTTATTGTTATTATTGCTGTTATTGTTATTCTTAGCATTGCTGTTATTCTTATTGCTGTCGTTATTGCTGCTATTGTTATTGTTGTTATTGTTCCTATAATTGTTGTTGTTATTGTTATTATTGCTGTTATTATTCTTAGCATTGCTGTTATTCTTATTGCTGTCGTTATTGCTGCTATTGTTATTGTTGTTATTGTTCCTATAATTGTTGTTGTTATTGTTATTATTGCTGTTATTGTTATTCTTAGCATTGCTGTTATTCTTATTGCTGTCATTATTGCTGCTATTGTTATTGTTGTTATTGTTCCTATAATTGTTGTTGTTATTGTTATTATTGCTGTTATTGTTATTCTTAGCATTGCTGTTATTCTTATTGCTGTCGTTATTGCTGTTGTTATTGTTCCTATAACTGTTGTAATTGTTATCATTGCTGTTATTGTTATTCTTAGCATTGCTGTTATTCTTATTGCTGTCGTTATTGCTGCTATTGTTATTGTTGTTATTGTTCCTATAATTGTTGTTGTTATTGTTATTATTGCTGTTATTGTTATTCTTAGCATTGCTGTTATTCTTATTGCTGTCGTTATTGCTGTTGTTATTGTTCCTATAACTGTTGTAATTGTTATCATTGCTGTTATTGTTATTCTTAGCATTGCTGTTATTCTTATTGCTGTCGTTATTGCTGCTATTGTTATTGTTGTTATTGTTATTATTGCTGTTATTGTTATTCTTAGCATTGCTGTTATTCTTATTGCTGTTGTTATTGTTCCTATAACTGTTGTAATTGTTATCATTGCTGTTATTGTTATTCTTAGCATTGCTGTTATTCTTATTGCTGTCGTTATTGCTGTTGTTATTGTTCCTATAACTGTTGTAATTGTTATCATTGCTGTTATTGTTATTCTTAGCATTGCTGTTATTCTTATTGCTGTCATTATTGCTGCTATTGTTATTGTTGTTATTGTTATTATTGCTGTTATTGTTATTCTTAGCATTGCTGTTATTCTTATTGCTGTTGTTATTGTTCCTATAACTGTTGTAATTGTTATCATTGCTGTTATTGTTATTCTTAGCATTGCTGTTATTCTTATTGCTGTCATTATTGCTGCTATTGTTATTGTTGTTATTGTTCCTATAATTGTTGTTGTTATTGTTATTATTGCTGTTATTGTTATTCTTAGCATTGCTGTTATTCTTATTGCTGTCATTATTGCTGCTATTGTTATTGTTGTTATTGTTCCTATAATTGTTGTTGTTATTGTTATTATTGCTGTTATTGTTATTCTTAGCATTGCTGTTATTCTTATTGCTGTCGTTATTGCTGCTATTGTTATTGTTGTTATTGTTCCTATAATTGTTGTTGTTATTGTTATTATTGCTGTTATTGTTATTCTTAGCATTGCTGTTATTCTTATTGCTGTCATTATTGCTGCTATTGTTATTGTTGTTATTGTTCCTATAATTGTTGTTGTTATTGTTATTATTGCTGTTATTGTTATTCTTAGCATTGCTGTTATTCTTATTGCTGTCGTTATTGCTGCTATTGTTATTGTTGTTATTGTTCCTATAATTGTTGTTGTTATTGTTATTATTGCTGTTATTATTCTTAGCATTGCTGTTATTCTTATTGCTGTCGTTATTGCTGCTATTGTTATTGTTGTTATTGTTCCTATAATTGTTGTTGTTATTGTTATTATTGCTGTTATTGTTATTCTTAGCATTGCTGTTATTCTTATTGCTGTCGTTATTGCTGCTATTGTTATTGTTGTTATTGTTCCTATAATTGTTGTTGTTATTGTTATTATTGCTGTTATTATTCTTAGCATTGCTGTTATTCTTATTGCTGTCGTTATTGCTGCTATTGTTATTGTTGTTATTGTTCCTATAATTGTTGTTGTTATTGTTATTATTGCTGTTATTGTTATTCTTAGCATTGCTGTTATTCTTATTGCTGTCATTATTGCTGCTATTGTTATTGTTGTTATTGTTCCTATAATTGTTGTTGTTATTGTTATTATTGCTGTTATTGTTATTCTTAGCATTGCTGTTATTCTTATTGCTGTCGTTATTGCTGTTGTTATTGTTCCTATAACTGTTGTAATTGTTATCATTGCTGTTATTGTTATTCTTAGCATTGCTGTTATTCTTATTGCTGTCGTTATTGCTGCTATTGTTATTGTTGTTATTGTTCCTATAATTGTTGTTGTTATTGTTATTATTGCTGTTATTGTTATTCTTAGCATTGCTGTTATTCTTATTGCTGTCGTTATTGCTGTTGTTATTGTTCCTATAACTGTTGTAATTGTTATCATTGCTGTTATTGTTATTCTTAGCATTGCTGTTATTCTTATTGCTGTCGTTATTGCTGCTATTGTTATTGTTGTTATTGTTATTATTGCTGTTATTGTTATTCTTAGCATTGCTGTTATTCTTATTGCTGTTGTTATTGTTCCTATAACTGTTGTAATTGTTATCATTGCTGTTATTGTTATTCTTAGCATTGCTGTTATTCTTATTGCTGTCGTTATTGCTGTTGTTATTGTTCCTATAACTGTTGTAATTGTTATCATTGCTGTTATTGTTATTCTTAGCATTGCTGTTATTCTTATTGCTGTCATTATTGCTGCTATTGTTATTGTTGTTATTGTTATTATTGCTGTTATTGTTATTCTTAGCATTGCTGTTATTCTTATTGCTGTCGTTATTGCTGCTATTGTTATTGTTGTTATTGTTCCTATAATTGTTGTTGTTATTGTTATTATTGCTGTTATTGTTATTCTTAGCATTGCTGTTATTCTTATTGCTGTCATTATTGCTGCTATTGTTATTGTTGTTATTGTTCCTATAATTGTTGTTGTTATTGTTATTATTGCTGTTATTGTTATTCTTAGCATTGCTGTTATTCTTATTGCTGTCATTATTGCTGCTATTGTTATTGTTGTTATTGTTCCTATAATTGTTGTTGTTATTGTTATTATTGCTGTTATTGTTATTCTTAGCATTGCTGTTATTCTTATTGCTGTCGTTATTGCTGCTATTGTTATTGTTGTTATTGTTCCTATAATTGTTGTTGTTATTGTTATTATTGCTGTTATTGTTATTCTTAGCATTGCTGTTATTCTTATTGCTGTCGTTATTGCTGCTATTGTTATTGTTGTTATTGTTCCTATAATTGTTGTTGTTATTGTTATTATTGCTGTTATTGTTATTCTTAGCATTGCTGTTATTCTTATTGCTGTCGTTATTGCTGCTATTGTTATTGTTGTTATTGTTCCTATAATTGTTGTTGTTATTGTTATTATTGCTGTTATTATTCTTAGCATTGCTGTTATTCTTATTGCTGTCGTTATTGCTGCTATTGTTATTGTTGTTATTGTTCCTATAATTGTTGTTGTTATTGTTATTATTGCTGTTATTGTTATTCTTAGCATTGCTGTTATTCTTATTGCTGTCATTATTGCTGCTATTGTTATTGTTGTTATTGTTCCTATAATTGTTGTTGTTATTGTTATTATTGCTGTTATTGTTATTCTTAGCATTGCTGTTATTCTTATTGCTGTCGTTATTGCTGTTGTTATTGTTCCTATAACTGTTGTAATTGTTATCATTGCTGTTATTGTTATTCTTAGCATTGCTGTTATTCTTATTGCTGTCGTTATTGCTGCTATTGTTATTGTTGTTATTGTTCCTATAATTGTTGTTGTTATTGTTATTATTGCTGTTATTGTTATTCTTAGCATTGCTGTTATTCTTATTGCTGTCGTTATTGCTGTTGTTATTGTTCCTATAACTGTTGTAATTGTTATCATTGCTGTTATTGTTATTCTTAGCATTGCTGTTATTCTTATTGCTGTCGTTATTGCTGCTATTGTTATTGTTGTTATTGTTCCTATAATTGTTGTTGTTATTGTTATTATTGCTGTTATTGTTATTCTTAGCATTGCTGTTATTCTTATTGCTGTCATTATTGCTGCTATTGTTATTGTTGTTATTGTTCCTATAATTGTTGTTGTTATTGTTATTATTGCTGTTATTGTTATTCTTAGCATTGCTGTTATTCTTATTGCTGTCGTTATTGCTGTTGTTATTGTTCCTATAACTGTTGTAATTGTTATCATTGCTGTTATTGTTATTCTTAGCATTGCTGTTATTCTTATTGCTGTCGTTATTGCTGCTATTGTTATTGTTGTTATTGTTCCTATAATTGTTGTTGTTATTGTTATTATTGCTGTTATTGTTATTCTTAGCATTGCTGTTATTCTTATTGCTGTCATTATTGCTGCTATTGTTATTGTTGTTATTGTTCCTATAATTGTTGTTGTTATTGTTATTATTGCTGTTATTGTTATTCTTAGCATTGCTGTTATTCTTATTGCTGTCATTATTGCTGCTATTGTTATTGTTGTTATTGTTCCTATAATTGTTGTTGTTATTGTTATCATTGCTGTTATTGTTATTCTTAGCATTGCTGTTATTCTTATTGCTGTCATTATTGCTGCTACTGTTATTGTTGTTATTGTTCCTATAATTGTTGTTGTTATTGTTATTATTGCTGTTATTGTTATTCTTAGCATTGCTGTTATTCTTATTGCTGTCGTTATTGCTGTTGTTATTGTTCCTATAACTGTTGTAATTGTTATCATTGCTGTTATTGTTATTCTTAGCATTGCTGTTATTCTTATTGCTGACATTATTGCTGCTATTGTTATTGTTGTTATTGTTCCTATAATTGTTGTTCCACAATTATTGCTGCTATTATTATTATTATTGATGTTACTGTTATTTTTACAATTGTTGCTATTATTGTTAATGTTTGTTATTACAATTGTTGCTATTGTTATTATGGCTTATTGTCATTATTAGTATTGCTGATTATTATTATTGCTGTTATTATTTCTGCTATTATTGCTGATATTGTTATTGTTGTAGCTGTTGCTGCTATTACTATTATTATGGCTGTTGTTATTATTATTATGGCTGTTATTTTATTACTGCTGTTATTATTATTGTATTTATTTATTTATTACCCCCTTTTTTTCTTTAAATCACTAAAATTTACTTCCTGGATTTGGCATTTGATTACTATGGAGATGCTCTTTGCTAACTGAATTGAATATTGCTGCTTAGATGTGTTGAACTGATGCCCTGCTTCCCTATTGTGTTTGTTTATTTACTTGTATGCAAATGGTGTAAATAAGCAACTGCTCACTTCTGGATGGCGGATTGGAGGGTGGCCACATTCCCTTGGCAGCGGTCCAGCATCTTGCGCGTGATGTTCACCCCCATGGAGTCGATGCAAACGTTATCTGCAAATCAAGAACAAAATCAATCCATATGGGAAATTCATAGGATGACCTTCCTCCGTCCCCAATTCGGACCGATGACCACTTGGCCATCCCTTACCGATATTGTGAGCCTCGTCGAAGACCACCACCGACTTCCTGGCCAGCTCTTTGGAGACCAAATCTGCAATTTTGGGGTCCAAAAGGTAGTGGTAACTGTACACCACCACATTGGCGTGGAGGATCTGCTCCAAAATGGGGAAAGAAAAGAATTATTATTATTATTATTATTATTATTATTATTATTATTATGAACAGTAATATTATTGTAGACTGTCATTATTTTTATTATTATACATTGTGAGTAATAATAACATTATTATTGTAGATTGTCATTATTATTATGCATTATCAGTTATAATAATATTACTATTATTGTAGATTGGCATTATTATTATTATACATTGTCAGTAATAACATTATTATTATTGTAAATTGTCATTATTATTATTATTATTATAGACAGTAATATTATTATTATTATTATTATTATTATTATTGTAGGTTGTCATTATAGATTGTCATTATTATTATTCTTATTGTTATACATTGCCCATAATAATATTATTATTGTAGATTGGCATTATTATTATACATTGTCAGTAATAATATTATTATTGTAGATTGTCATTATTATTATGAATTATCAGTTATAATAATATTACTATTATTGTAGATTGCCATTATTATTATTATACATTGTCAGTAATAACATTATTATTACTGTAAATTATTATTATTATTATTATTATAGACAGTAATAATAATAATAATAATAATAATATTGTAGGTTGTCATTATAGATTGTCATTATTATTCTTATTATTGTTATATATTGTCAGTAATAATATTATTATTGTAGATTGTCATTATTATTATATGTTATCAGTAATAATGTTATTAATTGTAGTTTGTCATTATTATTATACATTGTCAGTAATATTATTATTATTGTAGATTGTCATTATTATTATACATTGTCAGTAATATTATTATTATTGTAGATTGTCATTATTATTATACATTGTCAGTAATATTATTATTATTATTATTGAAGATTGTCATTATTATTATACGATATGTCAGTAATATTATTATTATTGTAGATTGTCATTATTATTATTATACGTTATTAGTAATAAAATATTGTAGATTGTTATTATTATACATTGTCAGTAATAATATTATTATTGCAGATTGTCATTATTTTATTATTATACATTGTCAATATTATTATTATTATTATTATTATTATTATTGTGGATTGTCATTATTATTATTATTATTATTATACATTGTTAGTAATAATATTATTGTAGATTGTCATTATTATTATTATAATTATACATTGTCAGCAATAATATGATTGTATATTGTTACTATTATTATACATTGTCAGTAATATTATTATTGTGGATTGTCATTATTATTATTATGCATTGTCAGTAATAATAATATTACTATTATTGTAGATTGTTGTTGTTATTATTATTATTATTATTATTATTATTATTACACATAATAATAATCCAACCCCTTCTTCCATAAAGGAAGATACCACCCGATCCCTCCCGACAGATGGCCATCCAGCCGCTATTTATCCAAAATCTGAAATACTCCTAACATACGAAATCATTTGTGGCTGAGACAGTGGCACCCGTGCTTTCTGATGTTCTAATGCATAAACACTTTGCTTCATGCACAAAAATAATGCCCATAAAGCAAGCTTTACGCTATAAGACACTATTTGCAAAGGAAAGGAAAGCAAGAAAGGCAACAAGGTGCAACTTTGCATTACCGCGTATCTGGCGAGGAAGTATGGGCACCACCCTTTCTTCCGCCCATACGTTTTCAAGTCGTCGAGGTTGTAGACTCCATAGGGAATGGGCACCTCCCGCCCGTGAGCATCAAATTCCTGCCAAAATAGGAGAAAGAGAATAATTATGTATCATAAACATATCCTATAGAATCCTACACAATGCCTCCTTACTTGTGCAAAGCATGCAACTGGAAATAGGTGCAAAGAATGAGGTTTTAAACAGGGGCTGGATGGCCATCTGTCAGGAGGGATCGGATGGTATCTTCCTTTATGGCAGAAGGGGTTGAATTGGATGACCTTTGGGGGTCCGTTCCAACTCTAGGATTATATATTATCTCTCTCTCTATATATATAAATATTATATATATATATATAATATATATACACATATATATAATATATACACACACACACATACATACACACACACACATACATACACACATATATATACACATACACACACATATACACAAACATACATACATACACACACACACATATACATACACACACATACGCACACATATATATATACACATACACACACATACATACACACACATATATATACACATACATACACATATACACACATATATATACACACACATATATATACACATACACTCACACACCCACATACATACATACACACACACACACACACATATATATATACACACACATACACACACATATACATACACACATACATACATACATACACACATATATATACACACACAAATATTACACACACACATATACACAAACATACATACATACACACACACACATATATACACATACACACACACACCTTAATTCTATCTATATGTCTGTCTATCTATCTATGGTTCTCAATTGGATCTATCTATGGCTGGGTGGCCATCTGTCAAGGGTGGTTTGATTGTGTCTTTCTTTATGGCAGAATGGCATTGGATTGGATGGCCATGGGGGTCTCTTCCAATTCTAGGATTCTATGATATATGCATGATATAGATAGATAGATAATAGATATTTCACAATGCTATCTATATCATCTATCAATCAATAATCTATCTATCTATCTATCATCTATATATCTATCTAATGAATTGGACTACATAGAATATACATGTATTCGAACATCTATCTATGTATCATGTATTTATCAATTAATCATCCATCTATCATCTATGTATCTATCATCTATCTATCTATTATTTGTCTATCTATCTATCTATCTATCTATCTATCTATCTATCTATCATCTCTCTGTCCGCTATCTATTATCTATGTATCTATCTATGTATCTATGTATCTATGTATCTATGTATCTATGTATCTATGTATGTATCTATCTATCTATCTATCTATCTATCTATCTATCTATCTATCTATCTATCTATCAATCTATCATATATATCTCTCACTTCTCTCTATCATATCTATGGCTATCTATATATTGCTGGATGGCCATCTGTTGCGAGGGATCGAATGGTGCCTTCCCGTTTGGCAGAGGAAGGGTTGGACTGGATGGCCTTCAGCGGTCCCTCCCAACTCTAGGATTCTATGGCCCTCTGTCGGGAGGGATCAAATTGTGTCTTCCTTTATGGCAGAAGGGGATGGACCGGATACCCTCTGGGGGTCCCTTCCAACCCCAAACGAAGCTCGTTTTGCCCCTGATATCGATCTATCGATCTATCAGCTATCAATTGATCTATCATCTATCTATCTATCTATCTATCTATCATGTCTGTCTCTATAAAATCTATGGCTATCTATCTATTGCTGGGTGGCCATTTGTTGGGAGGGATCGAATGGTGCCTTCCCGTCTGGCAGAGGAAGGGTTGGACTGGATGGCCTTTAGGGGTCCCTCCCAACTCTAGGATCCTATGGATGTATTCAAACAGGCTGGATGGCCCTCTGTTGGGAGGGATCAAATGGTGCCTTCCCATTTGGCAGAGGAGGGCTTGGACTGGATGGCCTTTAGGGGTCCCTCCCGACTCTAGGAATCTATTGATGTATTCAAACAGGCTGGATGGCCCTCTGTCGGGAGGGACTGAATGGTGCCTTCCCATCTGAAAGAGGAGGGGTTGGACTGGATGGCCTTTAGGGGTCCCTCCCAACTGTAGGATCCTATGGCTGTATTCAAAAAGGCTGGATGGCCATCTGTTGGGAGGGATCGAATGGTGCCTTCCCGTCTGGCAGAGGAGGGGTTGGACTGGATGGCCTTTAGGGGTCCCTCTCAACTCTAGGATCCTATGGATGTATTAAAAAAGGCTGGATGGCCATCTGTCAGGAGGGATCAAATGGTGTCTTCCTTTATGGCAGAAGGGGATGGACCGGATGCCCTTTGGGGGTCCCTTCCAACCCCAAACGATGCCCGTTTTGACCCCGATACCTCGAAGAATTGGCAGGAAGGTACGCTGCTGTCCTGCTGACGTTGGGCCCGAATGTACGAAGCCGTCAAACTGAAGCACTTCCCATCCACTTCCTTCCCAAACCGCAACGAGCTCACCTGTAATGAAAAATAACGAGACCTCACTTTGGGTGCATCTACACTACGGAATTGATGCAGTTTAACGCCACTTTGCAATGGTTTGATGCAATGGGGTCCAGGGTTGCATAGAGTCAAACCAACCACGGAATCCTGGATCCCATAACATTAAACCATTGCAAAGTGGTGCTAAACTGCGTTAATTCCACAGTGTAGACATGCCCTGTGTCAATGAGGAATACCTCGGGGTGGATGCAAAGGTTCTTCCTGGAGCTGAGCGCCAAGCCCAAGAAGGGCTGCTTCTCCCCCGTTTGCTTCTCGTAGAAATCCAGAAGTTTGCGCATCTCCTCAATAACCTATTTTTTGAGGGGTGAAAGAAAACACCGCCATTTATTTTTCATTCCTTGCATTGATGTGCAATTCCAAATCATGTTGACTTATGGCCATCCCATGAAATCCACAGATATTTTAAAAAGTATGCTCAAAGGTCGTTTCGCCAGTTTATTAATATTTGCCAGTGTTATTAGTCCCATAATCCTGATATATTCTATGTAGTCTAACGTTGTTATTGTCGTCATCATCATCCCTATATATTCTATGTAGTCTAACATTATTATTGTTATTGTTGTTGTTATTATTATAATTCCCATAATTGCTATATATTTTCTAGGTAGTCCATCATTATTGTTGTTGTTATTATTATTCCCATAATCTGAAGGAATATCCAAACACAGTATTGTTAAGAAGAAGAAAATACAATTTCTTAACAGAGGAACTAAAAAGACAAAGGATAAGATACAGATGGGAGAGAGAAGAAGGGCTAGAGGAATGATGGAGGAGGGAGCACAAGGAGGAGAGGAGGAGGAGGAGAAAGAAGAAGGAGAAAAAACAGAAGAGGAGGAAGGAGAAGACGAAGAAGGAGAAGAAGAAAAAGAAGAAAGAAGATGTTAAAGGAACTAAAAATTTATTCAAACAATATTAATGGAATAAATTCCCCGAATAAAAGAAATAAAGTTTTTAATACTCTCCAAAAAAAAGTTTCATATTGTCGCTCTACGAGAAACTCATAAAACGCAAAGACATACAATACACCTAGAAAACAAAGGTTTAGGCCATAATCCTGAAATATTCTATGTAGTCTAACATTGTTGTTGTTGTTGTCGTCATCATCTCTATATATTCTATGTAGTCTAACATTATTATTGTTAGTGTTGTTGTTATTATTATTCCCATAATCACTATACGTTCTATTTAGTCTAACATTATTGTTATTGTTGTTGTTGTTATTATTCCCATAATCCCTATATATTCTATGTAGTCTAACATTATTATTATTATTGTTGTTGTTATTGTCATCATCTTCCCTATATATTCTATGTAGTCTAACATTATCATTGTTAGTGTTGTTGTTATTATTATTATTATTATTATTATTATTATTATTATTCCCATAATCCCAATACATTCTATGTTGTCTAACATTATTGTTGTTGTTGTTATTGTCATCATCACCATGCCTATATATTCTATGTAGTCTAACATTATTGTTTTTGTTGTTGTTGTTCTTATTATTATTATTATTATTTCCACATTCCCTATATATTCTATGTAGTCTAATATTATTGTTGTCATTGTTGTCGTCATCATCATCCCTATATATTCTACATAGTCTAACATTATTATTCTTATTGTTGTTATTATTATTATTATTCCCTTAATCCCTATATATTCTATGTAGTCTAACATTATTAATCTTATTGTTCTTCTTCTTATTATTATTAATATTCCATCAATCCCTATATATTCTATGTAATCTAATATTGTTGTTGTTATCATCATCATCCCTATATATTCTATGTAGTCTAACATTATTATTATTGTTATTATTATTCCAACAATCCCTATATATTCTATATAGTCTAATATTATTGTTGTTATTATCATCATCATCATCCCTATATATTCTATGTAGTCTAACATTATTATTGCTGTTGTTATTATTCCTATAATCCCTATATATACTACTAGCTGTACCCGCCACGCGTTGCTGTGGCCAACCTTCCCCCTATCTCCCCTTCTTTCCCTCCTTCCTTCACTCCGTTTCCTTCCTTCCTTCCCGTCTTTCCTTCTCTCCTTCCTTCTCTATCGCTTTCCTTCCTCTTCTGCTGTCTCTCTTTTCTTCCTTCT